TCACTACTCCTATGGATCCCAAAATTTGTCTGAGCATTCGTGAAGGGGATCTACTGTTTAATGCCACACCTTACAAAAAGTTGGTTGGGAAATTGATCTATTTAACCATATTAAGGCCAGATATCACTTATGCAGTCCATAAATTCAGTCAATTTCTGTCTCAGCCTCTCATGCCACATCTTAAGGCGGTGCACCATCTTCTTCGGTACTTGAAGAATGGCCCTGGTCAAGGATTGTTCTTTACAGCTTCTCCCTCTTCTCCCATCACGTTGAAAGCCTTCTCCGATGCTGATTGGGGATCTTGTGTTGTCACCAGAAAATCCACGACAGGTTTCTGTATTTTTCTTGGAGATTCCTTGGTCTCTTAGAAGGCAAATCGCCAAACCACAGTATCTCGCTCTTCGGCTGAAGCGGAATATCGAGCTCTTGTTGCCACCATTAATGAGCTTCTTTGGATGGCTTAGTTGTTGAAAGATTTTCAGTCCCCTACCAGCACTCCAGCAGTTCTTTTTTGTGATAACCAGGCGGCAATCCAGATTGCCAATAATCCTATATTTCACGAACAAACCAAGCATATAGAAATAGACTGCCATTTCATTCGGGACAGAATTGCTTCCGGGAATGTTAAACTTCTTCCAATCAGGTCCAGACATCAACTTGCTGATGTCTTCACCAAGCCTCTTCAAGCTCCGGCCCTCTTATCCTTATTGTCCAATATGTCTGTCAAGAATATTCACAGTACATCTTGAGGGGGGAATGTTAGACAAAGGACCTGAAGCTTCGAGAAGCTTCTTACCGTTTCTCTTCAACTAATTTTGATTCCCTTTCTGTTATCAATTAGTTAGAATGTTAGTTAGGAGCTTAGTTATTTTTTGGCGCCCTTTTTAAAATTTCACTCACTGAATATTCAATATATTCTTACATTTTATCATGTTCAAACAAAATTGAGAAAAAATAAATAAATTATTTCAATAGAGTTAGCATCAATATTTTTTCAAGAGTTGCTTTAAAAAACACTCGGCAAGTAATGCATAATACTGGCCGTGATCATATTATACTTTTGATTCTAGCAACAAAATTATCAAAAGTAATGGAAATTTGTTTGGCAGCAAATTTGCAGTTTTCTTGAAATTAAACTTCAAATTAATTAAGACATCTGAAATTAATTTCAATCAGATCCACACTGTAAAAACACCAGGATTTGATCCCTGCACTGAGTCTCTAGACCATCCAGCATAATTTGCAGAAGGCATATCATAATCCACTTTCATCAGTCCCAGTTCTTCGGCTGATCCTTCTCCATTGTCTGGGGTCGATTTCGAGGCCATACCGAGGTACACTCCATTGTAACTTGTAGTAGAACTGCAATTACTATCCAACACAGAATAACAAGACCCCATATTCATTAATCCATGCAGCAAAACTGGAATTGTTGTAAAACTGAGTGTTGTAAGAACTTGATTTCTGGAGTAATTAAAGCTGTGTTTGAATGTAATTCTGATAATGTGAATCTTGATTTGCATAATGGCATTGTAGGGGGAAAGATCTTGGCATTGTAGAGTGAGTAAAGGCTGTGTATCATGATCAAAGGGTTGTTGCATTGGAGGGTATGCTAGAGGGATCGAACTTAAACTGCCATATTGAAAATTTGAGCCTAAACTTATCATTTCTTCACGTTTTCTTGATGACTCTATCGCTCGAGTATGGATGGACAAAACTTCCGAACCGGACCCGAACTGAACTGTATCGATCCAAACCGAACTGTTCTTCTTAAGTTAAATACCCGTATGTGTATCTGAATCGAGAACTAACGGGTTCGGTTCGGTTCGGTTCGGTTCTCGGTTCCAGACCAAGAACTAATAATCGAATCTTTCTAAATTTTTTATTTTAAATAAGTCAAATTATTTTATTGTTTAAAATAAATTTGCTAATTAATTTATTTAGTTCAAACCCAAAATATGATTTTACTATTTATAATTTCCATCCAAGCCCGACTTAATCAAATTGACATAAGTTTTACCAAAATCTTTTATTATGCTGTAGTATCGTTTTTACCGTTATATTATTGTGAACTAGCTATATTTCTCTTCCTATAATTTTAACAATCAAATTTATAAAGAATTCAACAAAGAGATGTGTAAAAAATATCACGAGATTATTTTATAAGAGTTAAGATTGAACATGTCATAGTCAAATTAATGTGACGTTGTTGTAATATTCAGATAGATGATAACGCCTTTTTACCTCTTCCTTATCGGATGGTAGTATTCTCTTATGGCCTTCAACTCCCGCTCAGCCCAAAAATAGTGAGAACTGAATCCCTGCGGATGTATTGAAAATGATATCTAAACAAGCATGGTGAAAGAGAGGTAGAGAAAGAGGGCCACGTGTTGAGGGACGGGATATTACCAACTAGACTTTAACATTAGCCATTCAAATTAAGGGGTTATTTGACAAAGATTTTTTATGAAGTTTTTGGAATTTTTGGTAAAAAAATAAATTTGTTATTAAAAGATTATAAAAGTTTTGGATCCCATTAACACGTGTAATTAAAATTAATTGTAAAGTCAAATTTTAAGTTATCCCAAACAATACTAAACTTTATTGACACACTTCAGAGTTTACAAGAAGTAAAGGAGATGCTCACTTCATTCCTTCTTATACATGAATTAGCCCAAGTTTGACAACCATTATTTTCAAACTCTTTTCTCAGTATCCTCATTTTCAACTACACATTAACACAATAAAATATTTTATACGTAAATCCAAAAATTGTCTCTATTTTTTTAACCACGAATTCTCCTAAAAATCACTTTTCAGAATATTATTTTTCTTAAATGATGGTTGTCAAGCAGGGGCTTAATATAGAAGATCGAAGTGGGAAAATTGATGCAATGGTATCACTTTTTCATCTCCAAGTTTCAATGCTGAGACACAACAATGGCAATGCCCATTGGGTCGGGCAAATTATATTTGTTGAAACCCTATGCCAGAGCAAAAGCATGCAACGGACCTCGAAGTTGAGTGATTAAACGATGTTATCCGATTGACAAACAATGAATGAGTCGATTGATAGAAAAACTTTTCATTGGACGAGGTTGTTTTTAAACTATGGTTAGGACGGAGCCTGTGGGTTACCCAAGCATCTCCGATTTTTTATTTATATTTGAAAATAAACAATATGTAACATCATATACTCTTTATTGCCTAATGGTAGAGTTCTTATTTATTATCACAATCTTATATTTCCTTTTTTTATTTGAATAATTTGTGCAATGAATCTATTACCAATTATGATACATATTAATGCAATTGACAATGAATTAAGTAAATTGCATTTTCCTTTGTCATTTTCTGTTAATTTTTATTATTATTATTATTATTATTATTTTGCTTGAAAAGTAAAAATTCGATACATTAATCTTAATTTTCGATGAGTTGAAAGGTCTAGTTCACTACAATCTACAACCCACCTATAAAGGCAAGCTAACATGTGCCATTGACTAGTTTTGCAGTAGTTTATGTCATTTTCAAGCGTAATGCGAGTCAACCATCTTAAAGTTGGCAGTAAGATATTATTTTGAGTAATGTTATTCATTCGTAGTGGGAATGAAAACACAATTTATGTGTCTTTGAATGATAGATTAAATGAAATGTGAAATTAAATGATTTATTTAATTTCACTTATCATTTAATGTCACATTGACGCTACGTAGACGGTGTTTCCATCCCCAGTGGGGATGAATAGCATTACTCTATTATTTTGCCATCTCAAGGCATATTTTTAGCAAAAAGATGGACCGAGTTGAAAATGAATTCTTTATTTAAAATATTGAGGATAATTACCTGATTGGTCATTAAACTTTACAAAAAGTTTTCAGGAGATCACTGAACTTCAAAAATTTTCACATTAATCAATGAAATAGTAAAATTTACAAAATGTGATCTTATCCATTATTGAGAACTTCAAAAGTTCCCCCATTAGTCATTGAACTTCATAAAATATAATCTCACCTATAAAATTACGCAAAGTTCAATGACAAATCGGGTAGTTAACCATTTTTTTAATATATTTTTTGTACTTATACCTCGCAATTTTATTTTCTATAATATCTCCATACTTATAATCTTTTATCTTGGGGGTAATCGACAAGGTTGTCTGCTGACCTCTTTGAGATTGAAAAAAAAAAAAAAACTAATAAAGTATAATAAAGATTGATAAATTACTTGATTAGTCATTTAGCTCCACGTAAGGTTGTCAAGAGGTTTTTGAACTTCAAAAGTTTTCCCATTAGTCATTGAGAACTTCAAAAGTTTCTCCATTACCCCTGAAAATCTTATTCAAAATTTAGGGACTAATCATGTAATTATCGTACCAAAGTCAGCTAAGTCGCCTAGTTCTATTCAGCTTGGGTTAGGTCCGTTGATTCAAAAATGTCCAAAAATTATGTCTCCATTTTTCAAAACTTAAAAAATATTTATAAAGGATCTAATTTACTATTTATTGATTCATCACTTATATTATTCTTTTTTATTTATAAGTAAACCGAGCATAGGCTAAATTTGGAAACAAGAAAACGTACGTGGCAAGCTTTAGCCGCATCAGCATTAGGGCTCGCTGCACCATCGTAACAGGCCTACATATCTCCTGCACTATTCGGATGAAAATAACAAATTGAAAAACTCAACCAAGGAATCAGCACTGTGCATAGTGATAGGGCACAATCAATTTTTGTACTCTGAATACTCTCTCTCTATAAATATAATTCTGTGGGCAGTCAGCATCGAACCTTCTCTTGGAGAAAAGGTGTGTTAATCTTGATCTCACTCGTGTTAATTAATTTTATGTTTTCATTGATTTGATGGTTAAATGGTTGATTTGTTTACTTTTTGTTATTTATTTATCTATGCATTGTTTGATTGTGCAAGTGATTTAGAATTTTGGATGTGATTCTGCTCTTATTTTTGGATCTTTTGGTTAATAAACGATGGATTCGGAATTGATTTCAATTGCAGATTTTTGGAGAGGTAAACAATTGATGGTATATTAATTTGAATTTTCTTTTCTATTAATTTATTGGGTTTTAGAATTTTGGGTTTCAGTATTCATGGAAGGATTTTCTACCAAATTGCAACAACCATATGAAGCTTTAATTTTCCGGTTTTATAAGATTTTAGTGAGGTTCTATCACTGAGTAAAATGCCCTTTTCAAATTCATCTCAAAAGTAAAAAAAAAAACTCAGTTTGAATATCTCATTCATAGGAAGAGTTGAAATTTGAAGTTAATTCTTTGCTTGTTGATGAGATGAGATAAAATCTGTATCTGGGATTGCTTCAACCTTGTTTTCCTAATGAATAGGATACCACAAATTAGAGTTTTTGTTGTCGTGTTTGAAACATGTTTCTTTGCAATTGTACCCTTGATCAGGCTTGTTCTGGTAATACGGTTTTAGCAACTTGAATATAAAGTTTTAGGTTTTAAGTAGCCATGTAATGGAGAATTGGTGATTGTGAAACTTTATGTCCATCTGTGAAATATCAGGTATTTGGTAATACAACAAATTGTGATATAATTACGACAAATTAGTGTTTATCCTGTCGCGTTTGAAACATGTTTTCTTTGCAATTGTACCCTTGATCAAGCTTTTGCTGGTAATACTGTTTTAGCAACTTCAATGTTTTAGGTTTTAAGTAGCCTTGTAATGGAGAATTGGTGATTGTGAAACTTTGTCCTTCTTCTTGGTGAAGTATGGGGTATTAGGAATAATACAAAAAAAGGTGATATAATTACCACAAATTAAACTTTGTCTTGTCGTGTTTGAAACATGTTTCTTTGCAATTGTAGCCTTGAACAATCTTGTTCTGGTATATGGTTTGAGCAACTTCAATGTAATGTTTTAGGGTTTAAGTAGCCGTGTAATAGGGAATTTTTGATTGTGAAGCTTTATGTCCATCTTCTTGGCGGTGGAAATACCTGGTAATAGGGATGATGCAAAAAATTGTGATATGATTTAAGAATATTCTTAGCATTGGCACGGTGGTTTTGTATGTGTGGTTGTTTTTCTATATGATGAATGGGGTTGATTCTAATCCTTTGGTGTGTTAAAAACATTTCTGTAGGAACTTTTCCCAAGCATGCCTGTAAGTCATGAGAATTAGGGGAAGAGACATTAACTCTCCTTTGTTGCAAGTTTCTACTTGTGCTTGTATAGGTTACTATGTTGTGTAAAACCAAGTAACTAGTCTGAGCTAGGAGAGTTTGTCTCTCAGTTCTACATATGTTTGGCTAAATTTTAAAATAATTAAAGTTATCTAAATAACATTTTATCCCCAAACATTTTTGGATAACTTAAGTTTTTCTTACTTTTAAGTGGAAGTTATACTTTTTAAATTTATGTCTATCTGGTGAATAGTAATATCCAGTTGTTTTGGAAAGACGCCTGGGATTATCTGTTGTTTTAAATGTACAGTATGCCCTCTATTAGAATCTCCCGTTTCTAGTGTGCACAAAAGAGCTTGATGGAAAACCAAACTTTAATGTTTTTCACGTGCATTTTTTACTAACTACATTTCTTTATCTTGGTGCTGAATATAAAGGGATGGTTAGAGCATATTCCCAAGAACACACTTACAAGCACCCATGGGAACGAGTCACGGCAGCATCATGGCGCAAGTTTGCTGACCCTGAAAACAAACGCACTCTATCGCACATCCTTGAGGTTGACACTTTGAACCACAAGCTTGACCCTAGTTCCGGGAAGCTGTACACAACTCGAGCTATCACTATCCACGCTCCAGGACCATGGTTTGTTCGCAAGATCATTGGTCAGGATATCTGCCACTGCGTTGAATCAACTGTCGTCGATGCACAATCTCGGTCAATGCAACTTGCAACCCGTAATATCAGTCTCCAGAAGTTCATTGAAGTGGAAGAGAAGATCAGATATGAACCCCATCCTGCGAACCCAATTGATTGGACCATTTGCAAGCAGGAAACGAGCATACGGATAAAGCCTTTGTCAACTCTTGCATCAATGGCAGAGAAGATAGAGCAGAGATGTGTGGACAGATTCCAACAGAACAGTGCTAAGGGTAGAGAGGTTATGGAGAGAATCTGCAAATATCTTGAAGCCGAATCCCGTGGAATTTCTCTCAGATCTTGATTTCTTGCTCTAATATGTACTTTACCCTTGACATTTTGTCGCAGCTTAACAGCCTTCTAGTAGTAATATTCGATATGTTGAGAATGTGTTCTAAAGTCGAACATCGTTGTGTATTTCTCTTGAGTCATTAGCTATGCTTTCTTAAGGAATGAATCTTGGAGGTAACATAAGAAACAAATAAAGCTGAAAGGGCAGTTTGTGATATAGCTATTCGACTAGCCTTGTGTGGTTTTTCTTGGCAATATTTTCAAGAAAGTATCTTAAGCACAAGTCTTGTGTGGTTTTTACCCTTACCTCTAATCTCATAAACGATACGGAGAAAGTTGGCAATATTTTCAAGAAAGTATCTTAAGCACAAGTAAATTTTTGCTTTAAAAACAAAGTTCCCAATTTTAAACTTCCACAAATAAAGAGCATAAATTCCCAATTAATTTTTCTTGGACTTTGTAAGTCCTCAAATTTCAATTTCAATGGAAGATCACAAACTTGAAAATTTATGCAAGGCAGCAATGCTATAAGACAAAGAAGCATAATTTACAAGCAGGCCACAATAGTCTCATGGAGATTTAGAAATTGAATATACCACTCAGACATGATCTAAAATGACACAAACCCAACCAAGCCACAATGTTTTCCACCAAACCAGCACAAACAAAGCACTAAGAAACACAATTCCTGTCCAATCACAATGGATATAGAACTTTCAACCAGCAGATGTTTTAACCAGAGATCCCATGCACCACAATTCAACAGATTAAACCCCGAGGCAACTTTCTGTCTTAAATTTTATCGAGCTTCTCTGCCTTGACAACTGGGTTGGCTTTCGCAATAGCATCTTGACCTGCGCTCCTGTAATCAAATGGGCAGTTGTGTTTGTCAGAGTAACGGTGAGACCCACAGAAGAGGTTACCACATCGGCATTTGAACCCAGTTAAGCCAACCCGTTTGTTGCAAGAGTTGCATCTACTAGGGCCATCCTTTGCCTTTGGCTTGCTGGCCTCAGAAGAGGTCGAAGAATTCGATGCTGGCACAGATATGGCCTTCACTTGCATCAAGTCATTTTGCACATTCGCAGTGTGAGCCACAGCAGATTCCTTCTCGTTTTCACTAGTTGATCTGTTGACGATGTTCTCGATTGATGATGCAGCGAATTTAGCTTGTTCTTGTTTCAATATCAGGTCCTTGTAACACTTGGAGCACATGTTCATGTTTGCTTGACTCCCAAAGAAGCCACAGTTGTTGATGCACAAAATAGGACCTTCCTGAGAGGGGTGGCATCCGGTCTCTTCATGCTCCATTTTGAAACTTCTGCTGCACCAAAGTCGTATAAATTCACAGTACCATAACTTCATAGAATAAATTTGCCATCTTAAAGATTCTTTGGGTAGAGGCGAAAAATAGGTATCGAAGTAATTATGATGATTCCACAATATTATTACTTCAATTCGAAGTGTTTAGTTACTTCGACTGGAAGAACAAATTCCATGCTAAAAGGAAAGAATATTTTTTACTTATGTCAGCTGCAAAACAAATACATTGAATTCGACAACACATTTATTATGGCATACTAAAATTATCTTCTTCAACACGCGAATAACAACATGAATTTAACATGTAAAATGATCTGCTAAATTTATCTTCTCGTCGAACCTAAAAGCAACTAACCGAGCTTTCTGTTATACAAACATTACAAATTAGGAAAGCAACTAAAAGACATTCAGAATTTAGGAAGCATTCCGGGAAATTATGCATAAATAAGCAATTCAAACAGAAATCTATAAATATAAAATAAATGCGAGCTCATACAGTGGAAAATACATATTCATATAACAGCAAATCAATACTTGAATGAATCCTTTAGCCTCTGCAGGGCTTTTAGTTTAAAACACTAACTGGTAAGAAAGTATTTTTAAAGGAATTCTTATTACTGAAAATTAATATTTTATGAAAAAATAAATATTAATCTCTAAATACAATTTGAGAATCTTGAAGCTATACTGTATATTAATTTTCAAAAAGATAACAAAAGAAAAAAACTTCTGCTTCAAAAATAAATTCTAAAAAAGAAAACCCTCAACTCCACAAGAATTTATTATTATTATTATTATTATTATTATTATTATTATTATTATTATTATTTTGTTCTTAAATCAGAACAATATTTGGTTCTTAAATCAAGCAATATGAAAATCAAAATTTCAGGAAAAAAAAAAAACAGAGAACATAATTAAAATAAAATCAGAAATATCACATATCTTCATCTGCGATATTCAAATATTGAACAGCTAATCAATTACCCAATTTCAAAAATTCCTCAGATGTACAGATCCGTAATCCAAATTCAAAATACACACGTAATAACACGTATCCAAACAATAAAAAGAGAAAAAAGAATTAAGAGACTGACCGTTGAAACAATAGAGATCAGAAAAGGAGAGGGCTATAGTTTTTTTTTTTTTTTTGATAAATATGGGATTTTATTCGAATTAAATTGAGAAAATGAATGAAAAATATGAATGAGAGATGAATATTTAAATACCAGTATTTTGATTTCTGAGAAGTGTATTACTACCTTTTGTATTCTTTACCCAACCAACGCTCTATATTGATTAGGCAACGCCGTAGGCGATCTGTATTTCTTCTCCATTTACTTTTTTGCCCTTATAACCTATAGCCTAATATTGTACATCCAAGTTTTGGCAATTATTCTATTTTCATATATATGGTTGGCGCACGTAATGACAGCATCGTGAACACGTCATGGAAGTATCATGTCACCCGAAGCCGCTTCGTGCAAACATCCTATCACCCATTGCAAATAGTATGTATTTTATGATACTAATCACGATACCATATGGAGTGCATGCACAACATGACAACACCATAATGCACACAATGACAACATCATGTCACTCGAAGAAACTTTGTATGCACCCTACTTTTATACTCTGAATTGAAGTGAATAAGTACTCAAAATCGACACGGTGAGTGAACAAAGATATAACGTCTCGAGAGACAACTCTCTCTCTCTAAGCAACTCAACACAAAAACTCGTAACTTTTGAAAAAGGGGTGCCTCCTCATAAAGGGAATCCCAGTGACCATACTCAGACAATTATTTACCAAAAATACAGGTCTTCAAAATAGATGCGAGCTCTAAAATTTTTGCTATCCTATCACCAAGAAATGAAAATGGTAATGAGTTGGTTCGAACGAACGTTTATAATTTGTCTTAGTTGCATGGTTATTTTTTATTGTACTTAGAAGTTAGTGATGGCAATCGAGCCGAGCGGCTCGTCGACTCGACCGCTCAACTCGTACTGTAGCGATCCACGAGCCGCTCGGGCTCGTCAAAAAACGAGCCCGAGCTCGAGCCGAGCGGACCCGTTCATAGACGAGCCGAGCTCGGCTCGGCTCGTTAAGAGACGAGCGCTCGTGGGGCACGAGCCCATGAGCCGAGCTCGTGGGCTCGNGGCTCGTAGGGCAACGAGTCGAGCCATCACTATTAGAAGTTGTGTTTTAAAATAAATTTGATTGATTGGAAGTAATTTGAAAAATCAACTAGTTAGATTCAAATTTGGCCAACTAGTTAATTGGAAATATTACACTTAGGGTCCATAATCTTCAAATAATGTAATATTTGGATCTTCAATTGATTTGTATTTACATTTAGGTCCCCCATTGTTTTAATATGCAGTATTTGAGTCCTCATGGTCATTAGCTAAAAAAATTCTTTAAACCCATAATAAATTTCCCTTCTCGTTTTCCACAACTTTCCACGGAAAAAAATTGTTAAGTTTGCGCAATGGCATCCAGATTCACCCCCCACCTCCTCCGCTGCCGCCACTGGCTACATCACCATCACCATCACCATCACCATCACCACCCCCTTTCCCTTCTCCGACACCACTTTACCACCAGCTCAACCACCGTCTTCCCTAAACCCCACCCTTTATATTCCCTCCTCAAATTCCACGAACCGCCAATCCTTGCCCATTCCCGACAACCCTTCCTCCCTTTCAACCTCCGCTTCCTATCCACCCGCTCCATCCGACCGGCCCGGACGAACAAGCCTGACATCGGGGCCCGAGCTCGCCAGCTCCAAAACCGCCGCCTTTGGACCTACGCCATCACCTTCAGTTGCATCGCCGGATTTATAGTTATAGTACTCAATCAATTCCAAGATCAGCTCGTGTTCTACATCACCCCCACAGACGCCCTGCAAAAGTACAACTCTAATCCTAGCAAATCAAAATTCCGGCTTGGCGGGTTAGTACTGGAAAACAGTGTTGCCCAATTACCCTCCTCCCCAGAAACCCAATTCGTAATTACGGACCTGATCACGGATATTTTGGTCAAATACGAAGGCAGTTTGCCGGATCTTTTCCGAGAAGGGCATTCCGTTGTGGTGGAGGGGTTTATTAAGCCGTTTGATGAGGAAATTAAGAAAAAGGAGGAGGGCATTTTGAGGAATAGCAATAAGTTGGGAATTACGGAGAAAGCAAGGGGCTTGGAGTGCTTTTTTGCGGCCACAGAGGTTTTGGCCAAGCATGATGAGAAGTATATGCCGGCTGAAGTGGCAAGTGCAATCGAGAAGAATAAAAAGAAGTTAATTGAAGAGGAGAAGAGCAGAGAGGAGGCATGGTCCAATGCTAAACCCACCACTAATGCTGATGGAGCGACTGCTTAGTTGCAGGATAATCAGTTTATGGTGGTAACAATTCTTTTGGGCTCTTAAAATTTTTGTGCTTTACATTTACATGAGAATCAAACATAGTATAGATTTGAAATAGAATGCGGAAAGGATGAGATAAATTCATTGAGGTGAATCAGGTAACTTAATATTTGTTGTTGTAGTGCGAATTTTGATCGTGCTCTTTGGATTATAATTGGGGTCCCTGAAATGAATGGGGTTTTTGATGAATTGTTAAAGGTTTCAATGAATAAATGGTGTATTTATCCATCATTTCAACTCTTGTTAGATGTTCAGTGTACTCCCTTTATTATGACTTGTTACGGATGCTTTTATTAATCATGCTTACTTTGACACACTAATAGTTAGTCATGTATAATTCTTTTGCTCTCTGGTGAGGTGAACTGGAGAAGTGCCTCTTGTTTGTTTGATTATATTATTAGCCTTGTGGCATATTGCACTCAACTTATGCCATACCTTAGCTTAATAATTATTTGGGTTGTTGCACAGCTTTCGAGTGATTTTCATATGGTCGAGTAGTGGAAAAGCAAGGATGGCCTTTAGAAGGGCCAGATTTAAGTAAAAAGTTCTCTGCAAAGTGTAAACTCTTTTGACTTGGTTTGTATCAATAATCTATTTGACTTTGACTCTTTTGGCTTTGTGACTATAATGCTTTGTCTATGCAGCTCCTTTCATAATATTGCTAACTTGTTTAGTATAATCATTATATTTACAATGGCCCCTTTATTTGATATATTTGTCCTTGCATATATGTGGAAATGTGATTTTATCAATTGGATAGACATCAAGTAGTATATATGTGTAGCTTGTGATAGTTGTGATAGCATAGCATCTTGAAGTACTCTCTCTGGCGTTGTTTGTCACAGTTTCTATTTTGAGAATTGGGATGCTTCTATGAAGAATATTAATGGACATTCACATTTTCATTTTGAAAAATTGCCTTTAGATGACCAAAGATGTATGCATAAAGAATAGAAAGTGATTACTATACTTTTGTTGAAATCATTTTAGAGCACATAGAACATATGATGTATCCATCTAAAGAGACTAGCACGGGACCTTGGCCCAAAAAAGGGTAATGTGAGATCTATAAAAAATAATATTGATGTGTTAAATATTAGTACCTCTTTCTTATTTGTGCAAACAAGGTCGGAATGATGGAGTAGTTATTACTCTCCCTGTTGATTGCTGGATTGTGAGCCTTATTTGTAGACACCTTGGTTATCTTGGTCTTAAATTTTTAGATTGCCTTAGTAATAGAATGTCATGTTGAACTGGATAGCTAGTTGATTCATATGGAGATTAATAGAAGTAAAGATGGAATGTTCGGGATGATGGAGTGAATTTTAAGACAGTCATTGAGCTGGGTTCTGGTTGAACGAAACTTGCAACTGTGTATCAGTGCCACAAGTGGTTCAGGGATACTGCAATATATGGCACTCAGTTGTGTGTGGTTATCGTCATACTGATGCTTTAGCTTCGATCAAATGATGAATGTGCTTAGGGAAGAGACGTTTAGTGGATTTTCTAGAATTTTTATGATAGGCTGTGATTTCAAAGACAAAAATATTTGGGTTAAATTATTGCGGTGTTGCAGTAATTCTATGATAAAAATGTCAATTTTTGTGTGACCAAATGTCTATACACCGAATGTCAGCTGGTTCTTATACAAATAACTGTTATTGACCCAGATTCTGTCATCTAATGTTATTATCTGTTCTGCTACTGGTTGAAAGATAAAGTACTCACATTCTTGGGTTATCTTGTACTTCATATGACTGTCCACCAAGGAAAAGACGGAGAACGGCGGGCTAGGTGTTATTTTGTGGTGGTGAGGTTATAGTTTGATCAACATAATAAAATGTAATATTCTTCCCCATTTTGTCGGGGTGAGGTTATAATGTGATCAACATAATAAAATGTAATATTCTTCCCCCATTTTATTAAACTTTTAAATAATTAAATAGGACAAACTTTAGAATAAAGTACAAATATTCAATCCCTTAGGTATACAATCACTAGAAAAAAAATCAAAATCACGTGACTATTTTATTCTTTGACAAAAATAACTGGATCAAGAGTTATAGGAGCAATTGTGGGTGCATCCACAATGGCCATGAGATCATCATCTTGACCTCCCAAGTAAGCCTTAAGAAATGCCACAACAATCCCTCCAACACCCTTTCTCATCAATGCTTTCGAACCCTTTCCACTCTTACACACCAAACTAGCCAAAGCCGCCTTCGATTCATCCAACATATCGCACCCGCCATAATTCTTAGCAAGAAAATAAGAGCAAGGTGGTTTACTCTCGTTGAAAAACCCCGCATGGTTAATTCCATTCGGGGCGAAAGGTGGCATCACACACTTTGGCTGATTACCCAAGCCAGTGCCTATCACCCCAACAGGGATTGAGAGATCGAAAGAGCGAGGAACATAGGTGAGGATTTCGGGTTCTGGCCAGGTTGGTGGGTTAGGGCAGGCAACAGGGTCGATTCCTAGTAGTGCCTTGAATTTGAGGGAGGTCGGAACATGGCCTAATGCTAGAGCAAATGCTATCTTACCACCTCTCCCATGGCCCAAAAGAGCAAGTTTGGAGAGATCTGGTTGCACCTTTTGTGGGAGCACGGATTGAAGGCCTGTGCATAGCCAGTCTGTGACCTTGGCTGCTGTCTTTACTTCATTATTGAGGGCAATGAGCATGCACTTGTAAAACTACAAAAACACATCACATGATTATAATCGTGTTGTGTATCCACTAAAACTTTGATGATAGCATCAGTCGAGATCACTCTACCGTGTATGTGCCATGAGGGAGAGAGAGTGTACCTTAGGAGCAACAACAATATATCCATGGGAAGATATATGATGCAGGAGCTGAGAGTACCAACTATTCTGAACACAATAGCCATGGCAGAATAGTAACAAAGGATAAGTCCCTTCTGAAACTGGTGCAACAATGTACAACTGAGTCGGAGGAGGAGGAGAATCTGATTTCTTCACTTTAATGGTTTGTACCTTCAAATAACCAGGTTCAAACACACCCAAATTACCATTTTTATGCTCTAAATCTGCCATTTTTTATTTTGTGCATGAAAAATGAAGCACTGGTCTTTGCTTTATATTAATCTCTAGGAAAATTTTAGTTAGGTTCAGAACATTTACAAAATGGAAATTGGATGCCTAATTAATTTGACTCCATTAGTATAATAGTAAGTGACCTTATACCCAAATTTGGATCCAAGACCAACTTGTAGAGTTTGACAATTAAAGTTTAAAAAAGATATTATTAAAATTGAGATCGTAGTTTAGAGTATTCTAGATAATATTATGGGAGTCAAATTGTAGAATTCGTAAAGTTATCTATGTTGCATCTCCAACTACACATTTTAGCCTTTTGAATCAAAGACGTCATATTAACCTTTTTTTATATCATTTTTTTGCTTCTAATGAGTCACTTATCGATTACGTGGAAGATTAATTACGGTGGATTGTCAAAGAAGCAATTTCTAATAGTTTGGAGGACGATACGTGACTGAGTATAACAGTGCTGAATTTTAAAATTGAAATCGAAATTTAATGGCTCAATCAAAGCAAATTAAAAATTTTCACAACGGTTGCTAATTGCGAATGAAATTTATCCCATGTTTGATGTCCATTACTTCATCAAAATAAGTTTTATAGTAGTGACTTTTACAGAATGTGATTAAAATGTATATAAAAAAATTGGGTTTACGAGCAAAATATTTTGCCCTGTTTGGACTTCATTAATTCTAAATGCATTTTTCTTCTTTTTAACCACGTTCTTCAATAAGATAATATTATGCGTAAATCTAATTTTTTTTTTCTTTTTTAGCCACACACTTTTAAAAATACCACTATTACAAAATATATTTTTTCCCAAAAAATAAATATAATAGATTTCAAACAAGGATTTTATTTTGAGAATGTGTAGTTGAAAATGAGTTAGAAAAAAAATAAGTTTTGAAATAATGAGAATCAAACAGATGCTTACTCGGCCATTGTTTGGTACTCATTGTTTTAAAACTCTTTTGTTATAAGATTATTTTCAATCACACATTCATACAATAAAATATATTGTATGTAAATTCAAAATTTTCTCTACTTTCTAATTACACATTTTTTTAAAAATACTATTTAAAACTCCTCCTCCTCTTCGTCCTCCTTTTCCTTTTTTTCCAGCGGGGGCTCAATTTTTACTTTTTGAAAACTTGCATGGACTATGTGGTCAAAGAAGCATTTGGTCACACATCCCATCAATGACGTTGGACCAATCATCCGTTTCGATCATAGTTACATTATTAAAAATAAAAATATAAGGTGGACGATGAAATCAAAACAGACAAAAATAGTTTGATCAGTTAGGGATGGCAAAATGATCGAGTCTCGACCCACTTCATCATACACTAACTTGTATGCTTAAGTAATGTCCAATAAATTACCCTTTAAATGATGTTTCAACTCGACTCCTGAGGCTCATGAGTGTACGACCATATCGAGCTTCCATTTTGGATACGGGTGAAGCCCGGCCAGAGGTGACACCATTAGACGGCAACAAATTTCTTTAAACATTTCTTGAACTGTGCACCATAAACAATCTCTTTCTTTTAAGGTGCATATTCTCTTCGTCGTTGTGTGAATGATTTTTTTGTTGGGAAATAAAATGGATCGAGATAATATGTATGACAAAATATGAAGTATATGATCGCAAACAAACAAAGATAAAAGACAAAAATTAATGGGCAGAGGAACGACGTATTTTATTTAATTGATTAATATAGATAAAACAAATATAATATTTGTGCCTGCACAAATATACTGTATTTCAGGAATAAAAAACTTATGAAAAGAGTATAATATTTATAAGAGTGATTGCAAAATCGTATAATACCACAAAGATGGAAATAAGATCAAAAATCACGTGAAATAAAAGAAATAATATTTTTCCATTATTTTTCCAATAATAAACACGTGCAAAGAAGGAAAAAATATTTCAGCCTAATTTGGGTTAAAAAAGTCCAACAATCTCTACCTTGACGCAAATTCCGATACAATGAACAAAACTCCAAGATTTCTCTACCTGGAAAAATAAATCCGACTGCAACGAAAAATTTGAACTTTTCAACAAGAACCAAACTTTCTCCAACACAAAAATACTCTTCATCTTCCACGGTATCCAATACGGATACATAAACACAGACACCAAATTCCCCAAAATTCATAAATAATTAGAAATTACCAAACAGTGTTAAAGCACACTATGTAGCAGAATCAACTCTCAATGCTTTCATAGAAGGCCCGACTAGTCTCAACACCTTCAAAAATGCTAAAAGCATGTGTAACTAAATCAGCAACCACGTATCTATCTTCAATGGGTCTATCCCTAGCAGTTGAATACGATAGAATCACAAGTAATTTTGGCAAAGCGGAATTACAAATATCCTCCAAACTTGACTGAGTAGTATTCTTCAATATAGACTTCGAACCAAATTTGAAAGGTACAATACCAAACTGAATCTCCACCACGGTACTAAATCCATGCCGACTTTTCTTCACAAATTCTGCCCGACCTTGCAAAATGTATAATTGAGATCTTTTCCGCCCCTGCAATACAACACGAATACCATTTCGAACTCTCGAGACTCTACCTCCTCCAGAGAACGTGTAACCTTTTGAATCAAGAGTACTCAACGAATGAAATTCTTTTTCAAATTTAGAATATGTCGAACGTAATCAAGTGTTCTACATGTTCCATCCACTAACTTCAATCCGACTCTTCCAATAATTGCTACACGACAAGGTTCGTTGTTACCCATAACAACGACACATTGCATCACCATTTCATATGTTTGAAACAAATCCCGATTGGGACACATATGGAACGCACAAGCTGTATCCAAAATCCACTCATCGTCAGGTTTAGATTCCACGTCAGAAATCGTTAAAACATTCCTATCACTCAAATAATTCTCGACTATGTTGGTCTCGTTTGAAATATTTAATTGCTTCCTATGAGTTGTAGTTATATTACTTTTGTTCTGCAATTTCTCGCAATCCCTTTTAATGCGTCGTTCCTTCTTGTAATTATAACAAACATGGTTTCTAAAATTTGACCTTGACTTACCTTTTTTCCGATCACCATGAAGAACAAGGCCTTTTTCATTTGCGTGAATACAATTCGCATCTTCACTTGTCATAATGAAATTTTTTTTATATGGATTCAATAGTGGAATCTCATACTTCAAGGTTGTCGTTAATAACAAAAATCTTGAACAAATCACAACCAATAGCTCTGATAATACTTGTTGGAAAATAAAACGGATCGAAGTAATATACATGACAAAATATGAATCATATGATCGCAAATAAACAAAGATAAAAGACAAAGAATTAATTAACAGATGAACGTAGTATTATTCAATTGACTAATATAGAGTAATTAAATATAATAATTGTGCCTACATAATTATTCTATATTTCAGTAATACAAAACTTATGAAAATTGTTTAATATTTATAAGGGTGGATGCAAAATCCCAAAAATATCACAAATGTACAAACAAGATAAAAAAATCAATTGAAATAAAGAAAGCAATATTTTTCAATAAAAAACACATGGAAGAAAAAAATATTTTTTCCAAAAAAAAAAAAAACCCCAACCTAATTTGGATAAAAAAAAAAATCCAACCATTTTTACATCTAGTGGAATTCCAAATCAGTCCATCACTTCTCAAGTGCCATTAATGTTTTCTAATTCAGTTGATTCTTGGATAAAACCTTCTAAAGCCAAGATTTTTGACTGCTAGCGTTGATCTTAAAACTCACTAAACTCTTTCTGCAGCATTTTATTAAATGTGAAGGAGAGGAAGAGGAACGAAAAATTATATTAAAATTTGAATCCGAGAATTTTGGGAGTTCGGGGTTTTGAAGCAGAGGGGTTTTAATGGACTCGCAAGTTTTAGTTGCTCTTGGTCTTTCGCTTTTGGGTGGCTTGAGCACCTCTATTGGTGAGTAAATTTGAACTTATATAGTTGAATGATTTTTTTCTATACAAGAACTTTACATGGATTTATTAATTATTTGATTTTATTTATTTTTTCAATTCAGCTTGTTTTTGTTGATGGCAAGTTATGTGGTTTTGCATTTGTGCTGTGGAATTATATTTTAATTAGATTTTTGAACCAATTAGTTTGTTCTTTCTTCTTATGCATGATATGAGTCAAATATCTGGAATGTTGATATAGGTTCAATAATCTACTTACATTTTAATCTTTCCCATTTCAAAGAATGCATTTCAATATGTTTTATGACTACGTAATCTGCTATAGTTAATGTGGCTTTTTTTCTTGAACCTTTGTGTTTCTGTAATTTAATGTGCTGCCGATATTTGATGGTGCAAGGACATATCTAATCACGATATTGTGAAAACAAAGAATCAACATATTGATTGAGCGATGTTGGGTCAACCCAGCTTTTAGTTTCAAGTTTCAAGCTTTATGATTTTTTGAAGCTGGATTTGGAATTATCTCGATGTATTTCTTGAACTTGCATCTGCCACGGATAACTTTAGCAGTCAATAGTATAACTCAACGGGGTTATTTTAGTTTCGAGATCAGAATAATCCTTTTATTAGTTGCTGCAATCCAGTTTAAGCCAGATAAACTATAACTTATGCTTAGTTTGTTTCTTGACAGGTGCGTTATTTGTTGTTGTTAATCCAACGCCAAATCTGAAGATGCTTGGTCTTTTGCAGGTAAGGCCAAATGTTATTTGTTGCCATATTATTTTCTTTCTAGGCTGTTGAGCCAAACCATTTACGAAAGAATTACTAGAATAGGAATTACAGTATTTCAAATGATTGTTACATAGACATATAGCAATAAAAAGATGATCATCCATCGACAACCTTTTCAGTTCCCATAATTTTATAATGCCTTTCGTGTTCAATGGCTATGTAGACTTAACTTCTTGAAATCAGGGTTTTGCTGCAGGTCTTATGTTGAGCATATCTTTCTTAGATTTGGCTCATAATGCCATTAACTCCATTGGCTTCTTAAA